CACACACACACACACACACGCACACACACACACACACACAGACAGTACAGCTATGGCGCCCGGCGCTGTTGACTACTGCTCTACTCTCCTTCTCAGTCGCCTCTCCAACGTATAAGACTGCAGCAGCTCCTCCGCATTGAGTGTGAAGCATATGGTGTCGACATCCAGATGCTGCTGGACTTTTATACTTGCTGATCCGCCTTCCAGACATCTTCTGCTGGTTATGGGTTGGTCCCCTTGCCTTTGTTAGCTGCCTCTGGAAGCTTACGAACTCTCCTTGGATCTGGCTGCTTGGGTGGATTGACTGACACCTGGCCTAACGACTCTGGTGATCTTGGCTGAGGCTTGGGGTGCCTTCTAAAGGTAGTCTCTCCAACCCATAACTGTCATCTACCAGGGACTTCCTACCACCGTCTACTTAACTAGTCTGCCTAGGCCTCTGCATTCATGGTACAAACGAAAACTACTCTTGTCGAGTATTCGTGAATATTGTACAAGTGGCTGGAGCCACCAATGGAACACGGAATGGGGACTTGGGACTAGGGCCTGGGACTCGGGACTGGGACCTGGGACTTGGGACTATCTCTTGGGACTGGGACTCGGGAGTAGGACTTGGGACTGGGACTCCGGACTGGGACCCGGGACTGGGACTCGGGAGTAGGACTTGGGACTGGGACTCCGGACTTGGGAATGGGACTCCGGACTTGGGAATGGAACTCCGGACTGGGACCCAGGACTGGGACTTGGGACTAGCTCTCGGGACTGGGACTCGGGAGTAGGACTCCAGACTGGGACTCGGGAGTAGGACTCCGGACTGGGACTCGGGAGTAGGACTCCGCACTGGGACTCGGGAGTACGACTTGGGACTCAGGACTCAACGAGGGGTACTGAGATTCGTGAATCCTTTCATACTGGTCTTGTGTCGTTAATAAAGCTTGAGAACGAAATGACTAAGGGCCAGATCCCACTGGCAAAGAGTATCGGAACGAGTGTCTGAATCTGAACGTGTTTGTGGCGAGGTGCAGAAAACTGTGATAGTGATCTGGTTTTCTGCAGCTCTGCGTGGAACACGTCCAGATTGAGACACTTATTCCAATCGTCCTAATCAAGAAACGGACGAGGACGAGTTTCCTGGAATTCGTTTCCACAGCCTTAGATTTGAAGACCATGCGGCCGTTGATGCTGCAGTGTACAAGACTGCACAACCCTCTGCCAATCTGGTCCTAACGACTCCGAAGTCTATTTGCATGGCGTGCGCTCTCGCCTGATCTCTCTGCTTGACAGTGCTTGTGTCTTTTTTCAATCTCCAGCAGACAGCAGACGTTTCTTTGCCTCTCTTCCGTGTTTATCCCCCCCCCCCCCAACTTTACTCTGCCTCTTTCTCACAGCGTACAAGCGGGCCGTTATGGCACATGGGGATGCGGGCAGCCCGCACTCAACTTCGTCAACGTGGTGAGCCTTGTACGTGAGAGGCATGGCGAAGGGGGAATTAAAAGAAGAATGAGAAAAATGAATGGTTTCATTGTGCCCCTCATGTTGGTCTTTGTTTTTATTTTTATTTTTACTGTTGCTTCGCAAAGTGTGCTCTTTTAGTTCATATATTTATTACAATATATAACTTGATTGAAGATTGTAAGGCAAGGCTGTTTCCATTTTGGATCTACGACTCATCTAGGTGGAAAAGGGGTTGTTCTGGTGACAGTCTAAAGGCTTCAAAACCACACACACTCTCACATAGCCTCTCAAATTGTCATCCAATAGTCTAAGCTTCTCTAAAGACTCAAAACCACACTCTCACATAGCGTCAAATAGTCATCATCCTATAGTATAAAGTGCTCTAAAGACTCAAAAACACACACACACACACTCACATAGCCATCCAGTAGTCATCCATGTGGTGCACGTTTATTTCACAGACGTGATGCGGGCTGATTACATGCAAGGCAGGTGTGGTGAGCATGGGAGAAGAAAGGTCACTGAACCCTCAACGTAACAGGTGCAGCTGTAAATTTCAAACTTCAAAGGCATTTATGTATTCCATCAAACAGGTACCCAAAGTGCACTGAACCCTCAACTTAACAGGTGCTTAGTGCAAGTCTGGCTTACAGTCATATTTTTAGCGACTTCCGCACGGATGATTGAGCTCGTGCTTGATCTTTCTTGTGCCAGATTCTATATCATGAGCTTACGGAATCGTTGTTTGAAGGTTCAGCACATCACCCTAAACCCTAGACAAAATCTCGCTTACAATCACATTCGCTTTTGCGTAGCCAAGGCCGGCGACTAACGGCGCCGTGGATTGAGCTCGTGCTTGATCGTTTGCGAGGCAGGTTCTATATCATGCACTTAAGGGGTTGTTGTTTGAACTTTGAAGGCTTAGCACATTGCCCTAAACCCTAAACCCTAAACAAGTCTTGTTTACAATCACATTCGCTTTTGTATAGCCAAGGCCGACAACTTTACTACGCCTTGGAGTGAGCTCGTCGTGCCTGATCTTTTTTGTGGCAGGTTCTATATCATGCGCTTACGGGATCGTTGTTTGAAGGTTCGGCATATCACCCACCATGCGATGGTGACCCAGTGCTTGGGGACAATGACGCCCCGAGCGTGGTACTTGGCTGTGGCGCCACCATCGCTTGTAGAGGAGGGACAGGAACAGGGGCTTCACGATGGGGAGACATGTCCAAAGGGTGTTCTTATCCACCGTAAGGGGGAGTCATGGCATGCGTATCGCCCGCCAAAAGTGGACGATATCCAAGTGTTTCGCATCGACGGCCCCAAATTCCTGAAGCTGCATCGAGGAACATGGCATGAGGGTCCTCTTTTTGACGGGGGAATGATGGATTTTTACAACTTGGAGCTGAATGACACAAATGTAGGTCAATTCTTTTCAACTCCTGCGCTCGCTCGCTCGGCCTCCTCGAGTCCTAATTTTAGCCCTGTTCCGCGCCGTGAAGTCTGGATGAAACCAACACAGTGTAGAGTGGGCATAACTACCAGTACCGTTAGTGTATAAAATACTAATAAATTTATAAAATTGTTATTATTTGAACTAATTAGTCATTTCTGATAAAAATATTATTTGAACCGAGGCTACCAGTCGGGCCGCCCGGGTCACCTTGTTTGCCCAGGCAGCCCGGCCATGCAAGCACTAAAAAAAAAAAAAAAACTGAAAACTCTGAAAAAAAATATATGTTCTCATTGTTTTGCAAAAAAATAAACTGAACAACTTTTGCCTCAGGGTCACATCGAAATTTGTTACCAAAAAATATATATACTGCAGACTGTTGAGGGTTCAGCCTCCTGATGAGTCGCTGAAACTCCGACGAAACAGTTTGTCACAGCCCCTCGTTTGTTGTCCTCTTCTCTCTCTCTGCCTACGGTTTACCGGGCAGTTCTGTTTGTGACAATATATATAATATATATATAGTCAAACAGAGCTGCCCGGTAAGCCGTAGGCAGAGAGGGAGAAGAGGACAACAAACAAGGGACTGTGACAAACTGTTTATATATATTTTATTTTTCTCTCTTTTTTTTGGCCCGGCCATGCAAGTGGTCCCGGGCCACTCTGGTAGCCTAGATTTGAACTTGATTTCTAATAAAATAATTCATGATTTTGGGGGGTTCCAAAAAGAGGGCCCTGTGTATAAGGCTCAAATTCAAATCATCAACATAACAAATGTGGAGGGGTCAACCCCGCGGACCCAGGGTCTGATACTGCGGCTTACCGTCTTCCCCCGAACACACCCTCATTATGAATGTATAGAAGCCAATTTCTGGTCCGATACAGTCCAAATGTGGGTGCATGCTGTTCAGGTGAAGATGGATGGTAGTCAGCGAGAAGCTCACCCCTTTTCCACTACAAAATCCAGGCAGGTGAAAAGATCTATAATGAATTTAATGAAACCCTAAACCAAAAAGGGACCCCAGTGACCCACTCCAAATGTGTTTGCTAAGTTTTAGTATTTTACCCACTTATCTACCTTCTTCCCCTGAATACAACGTACGGTCATTCTTGCTGAATTTGGGGTAACTTCCAGTCTAGATACAGCAATAATCACGGTACGACGTACGTCGTATTCCGGTGAAGAAGGTAGCACATTTCTCCAAGGACTAAACTAGAAAGGGAATTAAACAATGATTGAAGTTCATTAATGTCGATTAAGCCATCATTAAGCTACAATAACTATACAAAAAGATTGTGAAATAAAAAAAAAAAGAAAAAAAAGAAGATATGGAATAGAAAGCACATTGGCAATGGCAGCCTGAGCAAGTCCAAAAATCCAAACAGCCCTATACTTTCATAGATGCTGAAATCTTCAAAATGAATTAGTCATTAGTAATTACTGTTGTTGCACCCCTCCCTTCCCCCCCCCC